CTCTGAACTCTCACCACTTTTCTTCTAGTGGAGTACAGGAGTCCCTACCACTTTTCAGTTTCAAGCTGCTGGAATGGTCAACTGTGGAGGCACCCTCCTGAATGGGTTCCTCACAAAAAAGGCTATAACCATTCAGTGCAGAGTAGGGAGGTGGTGCAGAAGCGCTATCCTACAATATATATATATATATACACTCACAAAGGAGTGAAATGTCAAATTGCAGTTCATCACTTCGATTGGAAGCCCTAATAGCAATTATTGTTTTCTATAAAACTATTCTTTGTGTTTGTTAAATGAAATTCAAAAGTATTGTTTCAATATATTAAAGAAAGTAATTGTGTTGACCGAGGAACATATGATCTGTGTCTCTGATCTGTAATTCATATTTGTGTCTTTGCATTTTGTTCTTCTTGGAGAACAAACATATTGCTTTTATGCATTTATTTATTTATTTCAAATATCATGATACTCAACAAAAGTATTTTTTTATTTATATATTTATTGCATACTTTATTTGATTTTTAGATGTAAAGGCCGACATGAACAGCTGTGGTGGAAATCAGTTTCTAAGTTTTCATGATTTAACACAAGAAGATTCTCATATAAAAATTAGGAAATCTCAGATGCCAAACAATAGTGACATGCTTAATCAAAATCATCTAAAGCAGTATGATGTACCCTACGCTGGGGAGAAACCGTACAATTGTGGGATCTGTGGGAAAGGATTTGTAAAAAATCATAACTTAAAAATGCATCAGAGAATACACACTGGTGAAAAACCATACAATTGTTTTATGTGTGGTAAAGATTTTAGAACAAAGAGTGAATTAAAAATACATCAGAGAACACATACTGGGGAGAAACCATTTAGTTGTGTTATCTGTGGAAAAGAATTTGGAAGAAATACTGACCTAAAACTGCATGAGAGAATACACACTGGAGAGAAACCATACAGCTGTAGCATTTGCGGAAAAGAGTTTAGAAGTAATAGTAACCTGAAAATACATCAGAAGATACATACTGGGGAGAAACCATACAGTTGTTTAATTTGTGGTAAAGATTTTAGAAGAAACTGTAAACTAAAAATACATCAAAGAGTTCATACTGGGGAGAAACCATACAGTTGTGATATCTGTGGGAAACAATTTGGAAGGAATAGTAACCTGAATATACATCAGAGGACACACACTGGGGAGAAACCATACAGCTGTGTAGTGTGTGGTAAAGGATTTGGAACAAATAGTGAACTGAAAAAACATGATATTATACATTCTGGGGAGAAACCATATTGTTGTGTATTATGTGGCAAAAAATTTGGAAGAAGTTTTGATCTTAAAATACATCAGAGAATGCACACTGTGGAGAAACCATATAATTGTGAAATCTGTGGTAAAAAGTTCAAAATAAATAGTAATTTAAAAATACATGAGAGAATACATGCTGGAGAAAAGCCATATTGTTGTGTAGTGTGTGGTAAAGAATTTGTAAGTAATAGTTATCTAAGGAAACATGAGAAGATACACTCTATGGAGAAACCATACAGTTGTGCAGTGTGTGGCAAAGAATTTCGAAGAAATTGTAAACTAAAAATACATCAGAGAATTCACACTGGGGAGAAACCATACAATTGTGCAATCTGTGGCAAAGAATTTGGAAGAAGTTGTAACCTAAAAATACATCAGAGAATCCACACTGGTGAGAAACCATACAGTTGTGTAGTGTGTGGCAAAGACTTTGGAACAAATAGTGAACTAAAAAAACATGAGAGGATACACACTGGTGAGAAACCCTATAGTTGTGTAGTGTGTGGCAAAAAATTTGGAAGAAGCGGTGACCTAACAATACATCAGAGAGTTCATACTGGAGAGAAACCATACAGCTGTGAAATCTGTGGAAAAGAATTTGGAATAAATAGTAATCTAAAAATACACCAAAAATTACACACTGGGGAGAAACCATACAGTTGTTTAATGTGTGGAAAAGATTTTGTAAGTAAAAGTTACTTAAAAAAACATGCACGAGTACACAGTATGGATAAACCATACAGTTGTGTAGTGTGTGGCAAGAAATTTCGAAGGAGTACTTACTTAAAAGACCATGGAAGGATACACACTGGGGAAAAACCATATGGTTGTATAATATGTGGCAAAGAATTTATAAGTAACAGTAGCTTAAGAAAACATGAAAAGACACACACCAGGGAAAGTTTAGAACTAGGAATGTGGGATAAAAATATTTTGTAGCATATTTTAAAAGTTTTATCAGTAGATGTAAGGAGAAACCCACAGTTGTGTAGTGTGGTTCAGAAATTAGAAATAATAGCTGGTAAAACAACATTACTGGTAGTGGTCTGAGTTAAATTCAACCTTACTTGTGTCTTATTTTTAGTGTAGAAACAGAGAACCAACAGCGTAAATAAACTTGTTTTAGTTTTAGCTGAAGAATTAATGTAAACTAACTTGATCTGAGAATAATACTTCTTTAATTAATTGTGACACACCTGGTTGTAGATAGGTTTAGGAATAGATGCAAGTAATTAAGGCTGGGCCTGTTTAGTGTATAATACATCATCCTCCAAGGTAGAGGGTGTGTGAGAATCACATTACTGGAAGCCTTAAATTTTTTGCACTTCCAGATTTATTGCTAATAATATAAAAACAAATTTAGCTTGAATATTAATATCCATAGATTGGAATAAATTTTACTTATGTAAAGTTGGCTTATGTTTACTCGACATTAAACCATTTTAGGTCTGATTGCAGGATATCGGCAGCTTGACACTCAAAGTTGTTTTTAAAGGATCATTACATTTTAAAGAAAATTGATACTTCATAAGATATGTTTGTCAGAGTTATTGGTAATTCAGAACTTAGAGGATTTCCCTCGAATATTTCCAAGTTTAGTCATAAAAATTGTCATACAGGTATATTAAAAAATTATAAGAAAAAATGCATTAATTTTAGTGTTCATACACGTATTGACTTAGAGTAATTGCCAATATCAAACACATTTATATTTTGATACATGAAATTGTATTAAATGGTACATCAGAAGCAAAGAAAACTAAGCAACTTTTTCACAGTCTTATACCAAAAATAAAGATTTGCTGGTGTAGTGTTTTAATGACTAGTGTGTGTTAATGGAAATGGCCTTTCTTTGATTATAACATCAGAATGATGCTGTTCGGTACTGTGGTGAAAAGGAAAATCAGAGTTTAAGTTAATATGTAATTAATCATAAGGTTACTGCAGAATGGAATGTTTAGATGAGTAAACCTACTCACCCCCAACTTCATTATATCAGTTATAATAATAACCTTGGTCTAACTGCAGCCACATTATTACAAGCTACCTCTCCAGAATACTTAGCCAATCATAGTGTTTAAAATGTCATACTGTTGCTATTTATTAAATGCTTAGTCACTCATAATGATTGGTTTGTTAAATAGTTTTAGATGAGTTTAGAGGACAGAACAGCTTAGATGAACCAGTAGGTCCCTAAACATTATGTTATGTTATATTAATTTATATTGGCTAAGTTCTTGATAACTAGCAACAGAGTGAAATATTAAATACTATGCTTGGCTAAACACTCAATAAAACTATTTAAATACAAATTACAAAATAAAACCTGCCAGCCCTTATCATTTATATAGTTATTAAGCTTTCTCTTAAATTCACTGCCTACAATATCTGAAGGCAACCCATTCCAAAGGCCAACCACCCTGTTAGAAAAATAAAACTGTCTCAACTGAAGATGACTCCTACCTTGCGAAAATTTATATTTGTGTGCCTTTTCCTACCATTCTCATCGTTAATTATGAAAAAAAGATTATGCATCTACATTATCAATTCCCTTAATAATCATAACCTCCTCAATCTGATTCCCTCTAACTCCTATTTTTTTAAAGAGAAAATTTCAGAAATCTTAACCTCTCCTCCTATGACAACTCCTTCAACCCAGGCACCTTGTGGCAACATTTAAATAGGTCAACATTAATGACTGCCAAAAGAAACTTCATGTTAAGAAGAGATCCTAGAAATTATCCAGGGATAAGTTGTGGAAAATCCTTAAAAGCTCTTGATTTGATGGATCAAAACTTAAGAATATAAATCCTGATATCAACTTCCTTATAATTTTTTGTTTCATAACCTTCTGTGTATTGTCCCAATTGTTTTCAGGTGAAATCTTCATCACATTGAAATTACATCAAAACAGTATCATTCTGTCTTCCAGATACAGGAAACTAAACATGAACAAGCACTACCAGAAACTTGTGTTGGTAGAGTAAATTCTTTCTACTGAGTAAACAATCACAGAAACCCTATGGTGGTGAAGTAATGACTTTCTACAAAATATTCACAGAGACCATATGATGGAGTAATCACTTTGTGCAAAACAACACACAGAAAGTGTATTGTTGTAGAATAACCACTTTCTACTAAACAAACAATCGCAGAAACCCTATGGTGGTGGAATAATTACATACTCAACATTCACGAAAATCATATGATGGAGTAATCACTTTACAGACAGACACAAAAACCTTATGGTGGTGGAATAATCAATTTTTACCAAATTTGTAGACACCATATGATGTTGATTTGATAAATTTCTATTAATTAAACAGTCACACAAACCATATGGGGGAGAGTAATCAGCTTCTGTTAAACAGCCACAGAAACCTTATTATAGTAGTGGAATAATCACTTTGTACTAAACAAATAAGTGCAGATACCTTGTGGTGGAAACATTATTTTCAACTAAACAAAATGTCACAGAACTATATTGTGGAGTAATCGCTTTCTATTAAATAGACACCACAGAAACTCAAACATACTGGTGATACATCAATAAAAATTTACGATTGGTTTTTAGTTTTGTTAAGAACAGGTGAAAATTATCAGTACTTTGTATGTACGTCGATTTTCTAATTCCAGTTACCATCCAATATGGTACTACATTTCTCTAACGAAATTATTTCTGAAAGTATCAAACCCGAAATCGTTGAATCACGAAGCAAAGCAGAACAAACTTGAGTTAATGAAAATAGCCAAATAAGTATCGTATAACACCAAAAACTATGTTTCAATATCTGTAATGGGCTATAACAACATCTACTGTAAATTGATAAACTTAAAAAAACTAATTATGTAGCACCTTAAAAAGTAATACTGGTATAGGAAACAGATGTAAAGTGGGGGTGCTGTAGACGCTTTTGGAAAGCAAGAAAGGGCTTGATTTTTAACGTACTTCGAAGATTTAGTGCTTGTATTATTTTTCATGAGAATTTATGAGTGAAAGTAAAGAAGATATAATAATATGTCAAACACACAATATGTGATGTATCAACAAATCGCTTGAACAATAATAACTGTTGATATGGACTAAACGAAGTTTGTGAACTGTAAATTTTATCAATACTATATAAATCTACGCATCTGCATTAGTTTTCTCCCAACTACCAAAAAAGAACATAAAAATTAAATAAAAATGTAAGCATCAGTTTAGTGATAGGGTTGCATTGCTTATTGTTTTTTGATATTTAAGTTTACCTAACTTTTTTTTATGGGATGTTTCTGTGTTATCATATATAATGATTTTATGTGCAATAAATTCAAAAATACCCACTTTGGTCCTATAAATATGAAACCATCAGAAGGTAGAGTGAGGCTTAACAATAAAATTTTTGAAGTGTCTATAACTAACTATCAGTAATACTGTTACGTATCTGCTTGTTGTTAATTTCCAGTATAAATTCTTTCCGAGAAACTTCAGCCATACAAGTCCTTTCATGATTAAACCAGTTTATTCTTTCTCGATACACACTTTTAGTACACAGTAATTCCACAGTCAGTACGCTTCTCGTTACTTTAAGCTTAACAACTTTTATAATACACACTATAAATCACAGCGATTCACAATCTCGATAACTTAGCTCTCTGCGAGTGCAAAACAAACGGAATCGTAAATTACCCGAAAATCCATGACTACTGTTGCTAAACTATCGTACATTCATTAATTGTTGGCTTTCTCTGCCAGGCTTAAATACTAACGAATACACTCGGGCCTCCCCGATTATTCATTCGAGAAATTCATCACGTGACTTCCGCTGTCGTAACACTGCCCCTTCCTTAGTATTGTTGGTCCCGAATAAAAGCCACTTACGTTAAAACAATAGATAATTAACAATAACTTAATTAAATGTACACAATTTACAAGCACAAAATTAAAATACAACAAAGTTTCTTAATTTTGCAGGACGTTTCTTCTTTCACACTGGTCTC